GTTTGTTAATTCCTTGAAAGGACCAAAAACAATCACAAAGAAAAATTATCTCAGAGTTAAAAAACAAAGCTTATTAGCATATAAGTGGATACATATCGACAAGTTAAATGAGATTTTTCTCTTGAACATAATTACTTTAATGTTTTTGCAATTCAGAAAATTATAGACATAGCCCATGTCTGACTAAAATTCACCCATTTTTAAGGATTTATGCATTTGGCAAGATAGCAAGAAGATTTAAACATAAAAAAACAGGCCATTAAAACATAGGAATGGCACTTTGTGTACTGACCATTTAGTCTACAAATGCCATGCTTGAGCACTGCTGTCATACAGTTTAAGTTAAAAATGCTTTTCTGACCACTGTTAGAGAAGCTCAATCCCCTTTGATTAAAAAAGTGTTTTTAATAGCCAGAAAATGCAATACCCTCAGAAAAGTATTACATGTTTATTAATTTTAACAGTTTATATAAGATAAGATCAGTTAATGAAGACTGGCAGAGAAAATGCACCATGTTGACCCCTCAGGATCCTGTGACAGAGCCTAAAGGATAAGGAACAAAAACAGTATATAAAAGGCAGCATTTTAAGATGCAGCACTGTCCAGAAGTTTATTTTTCCATTTTAGAACTGGCAAAATTGAAATTGTATTTAAAACTTTTAATTACATCCTCTCAACTTCTTGACATTTAGCATTTCASTTATTGTTCATACAAAACAATCTTAAGGTAAAAACTCAGATGGTGCCCCCATGTGGAGAACATTGCCCATTTAAGAAGTTGGAGACTCAGTCTCATGAGACTAATGTGGTTGTTTCTTATGGAATAGTGGAGACAACAGATCCACAACCAAAGTACTTTTTAGTTACCTTATGACAAACCATCTCAAAGTGAGCATGCRTCATTTCACCAGTACCCTGAAATTAAGAGCACCAAACTTTCCACATTAACCCCTCAAGTTGAATTTCAAACAGTAAAGACAGACAGCCACTTGTGTTACTCAAACCATTTACCATTTATTGAAGCCTGGAGGAGGGGGATAAGGAAAAGGATATGGATAAACTGGAAATTGAAGTTTGACATTTGAGGGATACTGCAGCACTGAAGTCAGCATGGGTTCCGTTTTCTCTGTTGTGGTGGTCGTCATTTGTGTAGTTGGTGCTGCTGTCATAGTGGCTTAGTAGTTTGATGATTTGGGCCAAACGGTGGGACAAACTGAGGAAAAGGATAGGGAGGAAATGGCCCGAATGGTGGAAACGGCGGCACCTGGGGCCCGTATGGTGGAAACTGCGGCAACAGGGGCCCGTATGGTGGAAACTGCGGCAACAGGGGCCCGTATGGTGGAAACTGCGGCAACTTTGGAAACTGCGGCAACTGGGGCAACGGAGATTGTGTAGTTGTGGGTTGAGTCGTGGTTGTTTGAGGAGTAGTTGTAGTAGTCTCTGCAGCAGTTGGCAGAGGCCCAGGGAGAGGCCAAGGATYGGGAGGATAAAAAGGTGGGTAGGCAGGATACTGAAACATAGGGTTAGGATCTTTAGCTACTGGCTTTACAGTGGTGGTCAATTTGGTGGTTGAAGTAGCCACTGTCTTTGGTGCTGCCGTTGTAACTGGTGACAGGGGTGCAAAGTAAGCATAATTAGGGGGGAAGAAAGMGGGGTATTGTGGAATTTTAGGCATCTCTGGTTTCTTTGTACTTGTGGTCGTTGTGGTTGGTTCTGCCGTGGTAGTTGTGGGCATTGTGGTTTGCGGTACAACTACTGAAGGGTACTGAGGATAACCCCAATATGGTGCAAAGAGATATGATTGTGGAACACCTTGGTTCATGCTGTTGGGAGGCATCACTGGCACATGAGGGTAAGATGGGGGGGACTTGAGTGTCTGAGGTACAGGATCCTGTGGTTTAGCAGAAGTGGTTGCAGGTGCAGGAGTAGTTGCAGAGGGGGTTGCAGCAGGTTTGGGGCACCAGAGAGAGACTGGGATTCCCTGCCAACGCATTGGCAGCACATAACTTCCACCCTTGGGACAAGAACAGAACAGTGTTTCAACTGAATAGCCATTTGCAACTTTTAAAATCCTCACATTATGGGAAGCTTTGATTATATCTAATTGATGGCACTGCAGGAATTGAATTAAAACTTAGAAAAGCCTTGACAAATAATGTAAACAAGTTATGGCAAGTCYCTTACCCCCTCACATGTAAATTGGACTTTTGCCAGAGAAAATGTTCATTTTACATCATTGGAAATTAAATTACCTCTTGAACCATACTGCATGCATCATATGGAACCAGCATCACAAGTGCAAAAGAGTTCCTCAGCATGGTGTAGCCACAGGTGGAGGGGACCTGAGACAGAGGCATTGGAGGTTCATTTCCTGGATGGGGAAACAATATAAGGAAAATCTCAAAACAGGTGAACACTGGTGCAAATAAATTAAGTGGACATTGCACATGTATGGTACAACTAATCAATCTTATCATTTACCTTGTTCCACTGCAAACTGCGACACTCCTGGTCCCACTGCTCTGAACTTCATCTGGKTCCCTCCRCATTGCAGGGAAGGTGCCATGCGCTTCCATGACGCTTCTCTGGGACTGGTCTCCTGTGCCTGTCCCTCTGACCAGCCTAGCAGGACACACTCAAATGTGAACGTACCAATCAAAGCATTTTAACAGATTAAAAGTAAATTAAAGACCTCAAAATCCTACCTGCAGAGTCCGCTTGATAAGCCCTCTCATCCTCCACAGCATAAGCGTTTGGCGGCGCTTTCCTCTTCCCGTTTGCGACGTGCGAATCAGCTTCCCTGCCGAACACGATGGTCCCCTCTTGGACACCTAACGTTGYTCCCCTCCGTTTTCCCGTTTCCTCCGGTCGGTGACAGTTCGCCGTTTGCGCCAAATAACACGTCACAATAAAGCCCACAGCCATGTAAAGAGTCRCGCATTTCATCTCMCCTTTACGCATCATCGTGTCATGCCCTGAAAGAGAAGGCGCTGAGAGGCGATGGCTCTCAGAAGCTTTAAGTGATCGACAGGTACTTGAAACAGCCAATCAGAAGCCGCCGGGGGCAGGTTCGTCACATGTTCTCCAGTGATGCGCTATTGGTTACACCTGCGTAAAACACCTGCAGGTGAAGGGGGGRGTGTCATATGAAGTTAGCTTCCTGGTCTAGACACCTATAGAAATCTCATGATTGTATTATTTTTATTCATTTAACATCTTCAATTCTCATATTTAAATCACATTCACATTTATATTCAATAAATCACCCTATATTTGCAAGAGGTTGTCTTGGCACAAGCACTCTGCYGTCATCTTTTGGAGAAATAAKGTTGTTTAAACTTAAAAACAAGTCAAATCATTTTGAAATCAATCCTCAGTGTAAAGACACTAAAACCAGAGTTCTGTGATCTCTTTTCCTATTTCTCCTTCAAATCCTGGCTCCTGAATTTTGTACAAACTGGAGTCAACCAATAGATTTTTGGTGATCCTGAATAAAGTGCATTACAGTAGTTGAGACAAAAGAAAGCATAAAAGCACGAGTCAACCTTTTAGTATCTTCCAGAGTGAAGCACAATCTTACTCTTGCAATATTTTTGGTGATATTTTAACCATTCAAACATCATTACGTTCAGCTCGTTCACTACATTCCTGCTTTAATTTTTGTTTTTCCTACTACTCACACTTTTGAAACATTCAGCTTTTTCTACAATTTATAAATTTCATTATGGGTGACGGTGGGAGGCTTCTACAGTGTTGACATCATCTCTCGTGCTTTTGACATTGTCACATTGTGTGTAAGTCTGTATTCACATTGCATTTGCAGCAGGAAATGCATTTTCCAGTCTGAATAAGGTTTTTACTTTTTATTAGCATACTGCTTCCTTTTCTATGTTTGTGTGTCTCTTCATTCTGCAAGAGAGCAAAGTTACACAAGCAGTGCTGTTTTATCCTGGGATGAAGACGGTGGAACTTCAGAACGATCAACAAAGACAAAGATGAGGTCCAGGTTTTCCAGTGAGTCTACTCCAAGTATAATGACAATTAAACTATCAGACTAAACTACAATAATGGAATAATCATTATCCTGCAGAGCTGAATCATAGCTGCTGTATTCAGGTCAATGCTTTTGTTTTGCCATTAGATGCTGCTGCTTCTAAATCAAAGCATGAGCTTCCGTGTGTCCAGAATGACCATGTAAGACGAATCGTAGTCAGATATGGAGTAGTGGAAAAAAAGAATCTATTTTCATGTTGGTTTGATTCGATTTTTGTTTCTCGAGGGGTTTGGTAAGTGGATACAAGAGAGCCATCCACAGTCTGTGAGTAATCCACCCACCTATTGTATCAGAGCTGCAGGAGTGCTGAGGTACAATCGTGAGTCTGACGACAATAGGATAAATATTCCAACCATTCTTTCAGAGGTACTAAGATCACATTTCCATCTACTGTAAATTCACACTTTGAGCAACATAGATTTCTGTTACTGATTAGCCTGATAAAAAATGTTTTCCTAGCTCCCACTTCTGGCAGAATTTGCAGTGAAATGTGAGCACTGTGGAGAAAAGGCCAGACCACTCGGTTTAACTTGGCTGCAGGAGCCTGAGGTGAGGCAGACAGCAAAAACTAAAATCCTCAAATTTACCTGACGCACCACTGACCCCCTGTGCACTCTCTTTTTGTGTCCATAGACAGCTCAACACTTTTGTTGTGCTCAGCATCAGCAGCTGTATAAGATACTGGTGAAGGAGAGAGATTTGTGTGAGGGGAGATGTGGCCTGAAAACTGTAACGGAGGAGGAGGATGACAAGTTTGTCGAAGACATGCCAATTGGACTTGGGTATGATTTTTTTATTTTAAATAACAAATAAAAGACCCACAGATATAGTCACTACTGATCATGAATGTATTTGGACTTTATCATAGAGCACAGTCAGAGGTGACAATCAACACGGGTAACTCAAGCCAACCTGTGACGGAAACGTGTAAGTAACTGTAAGTGAGATACACAGTGGCAACTTTAAATCAGTTCATCACATAGACTTTATGTAAAGATGGACGACATGACTGCTGAAAGTAAAGGCAAAGTGTCTGGTGGCTGGCTGCAGTGTATTATTTAAGTATGACAAGGATGTTTTATTATTAATTAAGGATGACACATGGACTGAACTAAAAAGTACATAAAATTGTTTTATTTAATTTCATTCTTATCACATTCATGTATATGCCACTGCTATTTTTTCCAGCAATTTTTGCTTTAATTAGCTACTTGATGCCATGAAAAAAGAATGAAATGTCATGATTGACAGCTGAGACTCACTTGTGAATGGTCGATTGGTCCTGCGTGTATTGACAGCACTGTGATTCCATCCCCCACTCACCACTGCACAGACTCTGGCTCCAAATGTGCAAAATGGCCACGTCTGTGGTTCATTCGTGCAGTCATGATGCAGTGTGCATACGTTTTTTGTGTTATTTTCAATCTTGTTGAGAACCTCAACATGTGAGACTTATAAACTTTGTTTTGTGCCCTAGCACCAAAAGTCCTCCGCTTCCGGCTCTCTTGTGCTCCAGGAAAAGGAAATTGGACAGTGTGTTCTAGTACAGAGCCTGAGAAGTGCTTGACAACAGAACAGGAGGAGACTCAGGCTTTGGTCCCTTGTGACCACAAGCCTCTTAAGTTTGGAATGTGTCATCATCAGGTAACCACAAACTACTGTCACAGTCTCTTTCCTGACATTTCTCTTTCTTTCCTTCATTTAAGTCAGATGAAAAATGCTTTTTTCAAACTCTACTTCATCTTTTTGTCAGAGCTGCTTCCTGTTATGTGCATTTTTGTTTGACCCTTTTTAAATCT